GATTATGTACTGTTAATAGTAATATAGATAATATCTTGATATACTATTGACTATTCTCGTATTGCTTAAGACACTATTTGTGACTTTCTAATGAAAACTCAACCTATTTTTGAATGAAATATATGTGAGATATACATTAGTTTGAGAAAGTTGTTATCTGAATTGTAAGCGAACCATTGAACCATTAATACCCACTTTGAACGACTTTGCTTTAAGACAAACAATTAAATGATAAAAACAACATGAACTTTATTTAATATTAAAGATCCTTCGACCAAACATTCGTAGGTATTATTCAAATGTTATACAATCTGATGTCTCATAATTTTAAGAATTTGTTTCAGCTGGTACGTGAACGATGGTAATAGTCAGCCATTTCTTACTTAGTGTCTTCAATTACGAAGCAACCGTGTAAGAACAAAGCAGCAGAGAAGGCTCTTAAAATCACAAAGAAGTTTTCTCTAGAGTAGGTTTTTGGCATTTTAACTAAAAAAAATGACAACAACAGTGGTTCAATACTATCTATTTTGATGAAGGTTTGGGATTGCATAAATTTAGTGAGTTACTTGTTCGTTGGCAAATAATTTGTTCATCATATTTTCAACGAACGAACAATAGAAAAGTTTTTAATAATTAGATTTCAAAATGAAGTCTTTTAGATGTCAGGAAATTGATGATAGAGCCTCAGGTTGGATCACCAAGAGAAACAGCGGACTTAAACATCTAAAAGTGTTTCTTAAAATCTTAAAAAAATTCTAAAGACTTTAAGATCAGTGGTACCTACTGTTTACTTCTTGGTTGAGTTCTAGACACAATATGATAAACACATATGAGAGCTTTATGACTCCTATCTCTTTCTCTGAAACTGGTAACGTATAATATAAACGACATCATGATGAACCAACAAGTGAGCCAAGCAGCCCAAAATAAAAAATACGCCACTGCGGAAAAATCATAGCCAAGTTGAATCTCACTTTGTACAGACCTTAAATAAATCGACCAAGATAGATAATAATGTCGATACAATGTGAATATAGACATGATGTTTCTTTCGAACAAACCCATATCCGCATCCTATTTACAATGATATTAAAAACAAATAAAACTTTCACAATGTTTATAAGCTGAGTAATCGGCTTCGATGACGTCGTTTGAGTCGAGCTTTAACTTAATAATTAATTCGTAGCTTTGGATTGTATATGTATCATACAAATTTAAATCACCTTATAATCTATTCATTTTCTGATTACTTGAATAGCATCATGGAAAGATTTCAACGTGAAAATGCATAAGCTTTCTAATGCATTTTATTGACCATTAATTGTTATTTATATTCAAATAAAAACAACGATACGCTGCTTGACAGATTTCTTTTTCAATTCACAAAGACTATAGAAATACAAAAGTGTGAGACATTTTTGTTTTCTTGTTTCTCGTAGGCAGTGTTAGCTGAGAAATAATGATGAACGATATTAATTCTTTAGATATTTTTCCCATTATGTATACATTTGTCATTCGGACGGAATCAGTTTTTGTAGACGCACATTACCTACTTCTAGATTGTCACGCTATATGTTATGTGAAGTAGAAAAATTTCTTTATACGTTCATCTTTTTCCTAGCTACACTTGTAAGCAGATTTGCGATCTTGTTTCACAGCCCGTCAAATGACCTTGCAGTCTGAACAGTGAGATTCAAGCAGCCTGTTATCGTGAAAACAATGCAGTAGTCTGGAAGGTCTACTGTGTTAGTATTATCCCTTTCGTTCTTATAAACGTAGTGCCTACGTTCATTGTTATAGTAGTCCAGTGTGCTCAGCAGTGCATGTATCTTTCACGCTCTTTGGGTTTCCCTGGTGGCATACGCACAATACAGAGCACATAAAACGAGTTTATTGAGAATACCAAAAAAATTAACAAATTTACATCTTCTTTTTACATAGTCAATACTATCGATCACTTATTTGAGGTGAGGAGGCGTTTTGTGGAAGCGACGTTTTTAGGATAGCAAGTGCTTTCGAATAGTCAACTATATTCTCATAAACTAAATCAATATTGTCGTAGGGAGCAGCGAATAAAGTATTGTATTCGAAGAGTGCTTTTCGGTTGATTTTGACAAAATTTTCATAAAGTGATACAACTTCTTTTTGTAGACCTTGGGCATGTTTCATCTACCCAAGCTGATGATAGATATATTCTTTGTCGCTGTCACCCGAGGTATGTTTCAGTATGCGGTAGAAAACTCTTCGACCTTGTTGCATTGGCCTATTTTTAGTAGCAATTTATTCAAACGTACTCACTCAGTCTCACCTACAGCTTCTTTTTGTATATGTTCTCTGAGCTGTTGGTAAGGGTGCCGTTTTCCTCGTAATTTAAAATAAATATAAATTATAACAAATTTAATCTATTTTATAGATAAATTATTTGTACTTAATTTATAATTTATTAAATTATAAATTAAATTAAGTTTAATTATTGCATTTCTTTTTCATAGATCATCCCAGTCAGACGGACAAGGGAAAAACGTGTAAAATGCATTGAAATTTTAGCGAGAGTAAAATCGTAAAAAGTGCACATACAAACTCGTTCATGACACATCAGATTTTCGAGGTTATTGGATTTTCAGCACGGAGAATTTCAGAGCAGGGAAGTCAAGCAGAAGGAATCTTCTACATCAAGAAGTGTGAGTGTGGGCATGTGGTATGGGCAGGTGTAGGTGTGTACGCTTTGTTCACTCTCACTCTCACTCTCACTCCCATCCTCATACTTAATATCGAGCAACATTTTTTTTTAGATGACTTTCATACGACAAACGCTTGGTTTTAGTGCGCTATTACTATTCCTTCTCATTATTATTCAGAACTCACGAGATACGTCGAAATAATCTATGCAACAACGTGCATGATAATTTTAAATGAACAAACATGGCCATTTAATGTTGGAAAATGCTCAATTCAACTTTGACCAAGCGTGAGTTCTCTTAAACAGATAGATTCATACAGAATCTAACGAAGAATTTCATAATGTTAAGAAAACCGATCCTCATAAATTTATTCATTCAGTTTGTGGAACTCACATATTTTTTCTGTAAGTTAAAAGTGAGTGTAAGTTTTAAAGGGCGACCGCCCCCCCCCCCCCCCCCCCCCCCCCCACACATTTCCATATTTGTTGGGTTTTGAGGAGGGACTTCGGGGGGTTGACGTTGTGACAGACCGGCGTTGGGTAGCGGGGAGGANCGAGCAAATGAACCCATTTTTTCTGTAAAGAAAGACCACTAGCTGAACTCTAGATCCGTGCAAAAACATGAAGAATTAGTCATGTGTTTGGTAAAAATCAACGTAATATGGGGTAGGCAGTCTGTAGTTAGGTTCAAGAGCTCAATGCAAAACATAGATTCTGTTCATCATAATTCTCCTTGTACTTTAAGCAATCGAGCTGAAATTGTGTCTCTGATCTACATGCTTGACGGACTATATGCACACACATTTTCAGGTCTTCAGCATCTATTGTGGCTGAGATCTTCTAGGGGGGAGACTTTTGTCGTCTACTGTAGAGGCCCAAAAAACACCGAAAACAGCAATAACTCCGCCCCATTAACTCAAATCTCCTTAATTCACCCACCGCTGGAAAGAGCGTCGAAAACTTTACAAGATGGTGGGTGAACGAAATGGTTTCGACTTACTTGGACTGAGATAGACGCAGAACAAGAGGAAGGACAAATGCAGATCGCTTAAACTTTTGTCCTCGACTGTATGACTCAATGCAGAAGCTTTGCACAGTATCACTAAGTAGCATAAACTTCAATCAGCGCTTTCCACTGAATAATCAACAGACTGCCTTATCTGCAGAAGTCATTTTGCTCGACACTTAACATGCTCTTGTTCACACATAATAGGAAGAAAAGAAAAATGTCTTGCGCTCTGCTCACGTTTTGGCTACGCACGTAGCTCTTTTCGAAATGAACCAAATTCTTTGGTTTGCATGTTTCGAAAATTTTATCTAACTCTGTAGTTTAGCCTTTATCATAAGGTTTAGACTGAGACTCACGTTTTGCACTCGGCAAATCTGCGTACTTTCTCTTCAACTTGGGCATCAATTTTGATATTAGACTGATTACGTATGTTGAACTGTTCCCAGAGAAGTGTCACTTGTACGATATATCGATCATTTTTCATCGGAATAACACAGACAGGATTAGTCTTTATAATTTCAGAATTGAAGTTAGTTATGATGATCTTGTGGTTCGAGTTCCGACAATGGATGCTCAACGAAAAACAGCTTCGCCAGCGAATTCAAAATACTGTGCATGCAGATTCTTTACTTCAGTTACTTGCAAGTTACATTACAGTTACGATGAATGATAATTAAGTATTTTAATTATCATTTACTTGAAATGAGACAATCATATCGATGAGCAATGAAGAATATTCATAAACCATTTCTAGTCATCATCTCGAAGCCATTTACCGAAGGAGATAAAATCAGTAATTATTCAAACGAACAATCGACGTGCACATTTTAGTCGATCTACTTTTTTCAAGTAGTTGTCAAGTTCTTACAATAAAAACCTCGACAATACAGTAACACAAGACGTTGGATAATAATGAACAGAAAAGAATTAATACTTGGTTGTAAATTAGGTAAGAATTTGTTTTTCCTGTAATGCTAGATATAAATAAGTAAAAAATTTGAGCATTTGTCGTATCTATCACAGAACAGTAGCTGAAATGATGGCATATGTGAGTTATCATGTGATGACGTGTTCTTGAAGTTGTGTTAAAAGGTAAATCTTACATACAGGATATAGAAACAAACAAGTTTACTCAACGTTTATCATGAAATTAATTATGAGCAGACGCTATTAATTGCTTTATCACAAAAAGGAAGAGTAAAGAATAAATACTGCATCATAAATAAAAATTCTTGAAATGTTCTATACTGCGTTCATTGTGAATCGTTAGTGAGATAGAGAATGTCGCTTGTTAAAATTTTACTCTGTTTCATGATCTTGCATTTGGTGAGTTCTCCACCTCAAATCAATCTTGATCTCACAGATTGTGTAAGTAATAGCGAGAGTGATGCTACGTTGCAGCACAATTGTCTACATGTTACGGGTTCGATTGATAAAGAAACTGATTCTCGTCAGTTCATTTCTTATTGTATGAATGAGTATTCACCGAAATGGAACATACAAAGTAATAGTCGCGAACGAAAATTTACCTTTGTGGAGCTGTACAAACACAATATTACCAGTCGACATTTGTACCTTTGGTCGGCACCGATGGATGTTGCTGAACGTTATCAGTTCTATTTGGATCAACTTTCGATTTCGAATGAAGCCTCAATGGCAACACAGCTCTTCTACAATTGTACACCACCAAGATTTGGTCCAATATGTCAATATGCATTTGACGATTACAGGCCTGATCATTTATCATTGAATGAGATTATTCACGATTTCTATCTCCACGGTTACGAACCGACGACATTGACATGTTACGTTCATTTGCAATGTGATCGCGGTCCAGCACCGGCATGTCTCGATTGGAGCGAAATTTGCGATGGAAAAGTGGATTGTCTCGATGGTGGACGCGACGAAGAACATTGCTGGCAACTTGAAGCCAACGAGTGTGCAGATGATCAATATCGATGTGTCAATGGACAATGCATACCCTACACATTCTTTCGTGACAATACTGCCATTCCTGACTGTCTTGATGGATCTGATGAATATTTCGAATCAAAAGACAAGCGTGCCAACTGTAAAATAGCTGAATCAGTCTTTGAATGCGAAGATCTGACATGTACAATTGGCCATCGATCCTGGGCATCACCTTTGACAAGTTCATGCGCCCAAAGTCGCAGTGACTTGCTCATAAAAGCCATGTTTTTGCACAAACCAAACTCTGTACTCGACGAGTGTTGGTCAGCATTTTTGTGTATCATTCATGGTTCAAATCCATCCGATACAATTTGTGGTGATTTTTGTGTAGGTAGGACATGCGACGAAACAATTCGAAAGACTTGTCCAGACATGATGTACATCCCCGCTGTTCCACTTTTCTTCGGTCATGTTTACTTTGCCTACACAAAAAATGAGTCCAAATATCGATATTTTCTGCCACAGAAACCACAATATGTATGCTACAATAAACAACTTTGCGGTGAGCTTCTCTCAAACAAACCATTTTTTATATTCAATAATGCCACATGTCGCCGTTTTGAAGATTTTCCAGTGAAGTATATACTAGGGAGAGAATCTTGGATGACCTCTCATGTCATACCCTTGTACTGGTTTTTTTGGACATGCAATTCAATTGTCAACAATGACTCGGCATTTTGTCACAGATCGACGATATACCAATGTTTCAACTCGTCTAAATGTATCTCAAGGCATCGTTTGAATGATCAGTTTCAGGATTGTCATTATTTCGACGATGAACTCGTGAAGATGGACAATAAAACGTGTCCTTTCGAAGGATTCGGGAAGTATTTCCGATGTAAAACAACGAATAGATGCATTCCTTATTACCTTGTTGGAGACGGTTCATGTCATTGTTCATTAGATGAAGTGGGCTTATGTGACGATGAATTTTCCGATATGCACTTTATAAGAAGGAATATTTCATTCCCGACAATTTGCGATGGTTTTACTGAGCTGTTACCCGTGACCAATGATGGTCGAACCGAAACAGACGAAACGGAATGTGGGCAATGGCTGTGCAATAATACTTACACGCGTTGCGATGGTTATTGGAATTGTCTCGATGGTGCCGATGAAGTGGATTGCGATCCATGGCTACTATTCAACTGCCCTCACCATCATCACATGTGTGTTTCACCAAATACGAGTCAACTGACGTGTCTACCTTTAAAAAAAGCCAATGATGGTCATATCGATTGTCTTGGTGCCACTGACGAGCCAAAACTATGCCGAACACATGACTATATACCCACAATGCTAAATTTTTACTGTGAGAAGGAAAGCAGTAACGATTGTATTACTGCCCATCATTTATGTGATAACTCTTATGACTGTGCGCACAGAGACGATGAACAAATTTGTGATAAAAATCGCAATGTTACTGTATATACATCAGTTTGCAACGAATTTCATGCATCGGTTCGATCTGATATCGAAAAGTTTCTTTGCACACGTGTCATAGATACAGAGAAAACGCAGATTGTACATTTTGCGCTCGACAAAGTCCGAAACTCGATCAAACACACCCCAAAACGTCACGAAAGCACAACGCTTCCATATTTATTTATTAATCGTCAGTATCATCAACGCTGCCATCGTGGTCTTGCTTTAAGAGTTTGGTTGAACAACGAGAATAACTTAACAACAATTACATGTCTCTGTCCACCGAGCTTTTACGGTGACATGTGTCAGTACCAAAACCAACGAGTCAGTCTTACTATGCAATTACTAGCACTATCTGATGCCTGGCGAACACTATTTGTTCTTAGTGTGGCCCTAATTGATGACAGTGACGAACGAATCATTCATTCTCATGAACAATTCAGTTATCTACCCATGGAAGACTGTAAAATAAAATTCAACATATATTTGCTCTATTCAACTCGGCCAAAAAGTCATTTGAAACACTATTCAGTGCATATCGATATCTATGAAAATAAATCATTAGCTTACCGAGGAAGTTGGCTACTGTCACTCACTTTTCCATTTTTGCCTGTGCATCGTATCGCCGCTCAATTTAAGATTCCACGCAGTAGAGAGAGTATTGAAATTTGTTCAGATCGTCAATGTATTCATGGCCAATGCATCCAGTACGTCGATGAATTGAACAAAACTGGCTTTTGTCAATGCCATCGAGGATGGTCTGGACGACATTGTTCGATTCCATATATAGGAACATGCTCGCCTAGTTCTCTATGCATCGGTGTATCAGCCAAGAATCGATCTGTGTGTGTTTGTCCGATCAATAAATTTGGGCCTCGATGTCTACTCCACAATACGATATGTCACCCCAATCAAAATGCTGTATGTCGTAAAGATGGTCAATGCATACCAGTCGATGAACGTATTGTATCAGATAGAAAGTTCACGTGCATCTGCCCACAAGGTTTCAGTGGAGATAATTGTGAAGTAAATGCCACTAAAATCATCGTGTCATTCCATAAAGACATAGCTTTACCACAATCGGTGCTCCTTCATTTTATCCAGGTGATCGATGATGGTCCACCTGAACGTGTGACTATTTTCAAATCCATTCCTATCAATTTAGATTCAGTCATCATATACTGGTCACATCCATTTCACCTTGTCTTTGTCGAATTTTTCAATAAAATCTATTATTTGGCAGTTGTTCAACGGACACACAATACATCATCGATGGTCATTACTACAATGGTCGATTCATTGGATCGTTGTGCGGATATAAGAGAAGTGTTAAATAAGACAATCGTCGAACTATCAATTCTTCGTCGTATAAAGTATTATCATGTGCCATGTCAGAGACGTTCACCAGTTCTGTCTTGTTTCTACGATGAGAAGCGTCTGTGTTTGTGCGACGACTATGGTCAACAACGTGTAGCCAACTGTTTCGATTTCGATCATGAGATAAGACACGATTGTTTCGGTCAAAGCAGCTGTGAAAATGGGGGGCAGTGTTTTCAAGAGAATCCGATTTGTGCAAGAGCGTCGATGTGTGTATGTCCTACCTGTTTCTATGGAAAACGATGTCAATTTAGCACTAATGGCTTCAGCCTTTCGTTTGATGGTATTTTGGGTTATCACATTCAGCCACATATTAGTCTTGTGCATCAACCACTTGCTGTGCAAATTAGTATGATGTTGACTATAGTTATGACCACGGCAGGATTCATCAATGGCGTTCTTTCTGTGATGACATTTGGAAGCAAAAACCTTTGGAATGTCGGCTGTGGCATTTACCTATTCGCTTCATCAATTACTACTCTACTGATGACGATTGTATTTGCATTCAAATTTTGGATACTCGTCGTTGCACAAACGGCACTTATTACGAATCGCTCGTTTCTATATGTGCAGTGCATTTCGATTGATTGCCTTCTGAGAATTTGCCTTAGCGTGGATCAATGGTTAGCTGCATGTGTGACTACCGAACGAGCAATAATTGTAACAAAAGGAGTCACTTTTAACAAGAAGCAGAGTAAGCAAGTAGCGAAATACACAATATTCGTTCTTCTAATGTTGACAGTCGGCACAGCTATTCACGATCCCGTTCATCGACGTCTAATTGATGAAGACGATGAGGAGGAAAATCGAATTTGGTGTATTGTCACCTATTCACACAGTTTCCGAGTCTTCAATTCTATCGTACATAGTTTTCACTTTTGTGTTCCTTTTGTCATCAATTGTATCTCGGCTATTCTTATTATCATGATATATGCTCAGCAACGAACATCCACCCAAACTCATCAAACATATAAACAACACTTGTGGAAACAATTTCAGCAACACTATCATATTCTTATTGGTCCATCCGTGCTCATCATTCTTGCTTGTCCAAGACTGATCATTGCCTTTGCTTCGGGTTGTGTGAAATCGGCTCGTGACTCTTGGCTACTACTAGTTGGTTACTTTATTTCATTCATTCCGCCTATGCTGACATTCGTTCTGTTTGTCTTGCCGTCAAAAGTGTACAAGGAAGAATTTTTCAAGTCCATCCAACGATATCGAAAAAAAATGCACAATTATTTACATCGCAATTCGTAAATGTTAGTAAAGAAGAAGAACTTTTCTCCATACCTCCCGACAGTTTGATTCGGACATCATGTGCACATCCTATGCCGCTTCTTACATTCAAAAAACAAATAATACAAACATGTTCCGATGTTCCTTATGTTCTTTGACAAAATTTATTCAAATGCGTTAATATCAGCAAACTACTGTTCGAAAAGATGAAACAATCTGAAAGCCACCATTAAGGTATAATCCTATTTGAACTAGCAAATCTTCAGTTCAAACTGAGATAATATCTTCTTTTGAAACATGAATACACTACTCTTGCATCTGCGAAAAATTATTTATGTGCATTTTTTGGTGCCATAGTATGGTCCAACGTGAATTGAAGACTTTCATGATAATATAGTCTAACATATTTGTTGTACAACATATTGGATCAAAATATCATTGAAATGATATTTTATTTTTTCTTTTAGGTCAAACATTTAATCATGAGAGAAAAACTGTACGATCATCATATGGTATAAAAATTGAATTTTGAACACTCATGCTCTGTTTAATTGTAATTCAATAAATCATCATATATCTTTGTTTTATTACGCATCACAGTAATTAAAACTATGTTTCTCCAACATCGAATATCGAAATGCAAAAATGACTGTATAGTCTATTGAATGAAGAGTGTAGATGTGGGTTTGGGTGCGGATATGGGTAGAAGTGATCCTTTATCTTTATTGTCCTTTATAATAAAGGATAAACATAAATGAATCCTTTACTTGTAAAAAATCAAGATAAATAAATGAATCCTTTATTTTTAGAAAATAAAGATATATTAAAGGAATAAAGGATTCTTTTTTCGAGGGATTATGATGTTGGAAGAGCTCTACGACCACAGAATTCATGTTTATAAAGACTTTTATTATAAAATAAATGCATTTTTTCTGAAAATAAGCTAGTTCAGATATAATATGAGTTGCTGCTTTTTCTCCAAAATTTAGCAGACTTCGATCAGAAAAGTGAGGATTAAATCAAAACAAATATCATATTCTGCATCAGCATTAAAAATGGAACTGACCTATGAATATTTCAACTTCTGAAATATTCATAGGTCAGTTCCATTTTTAATGCTGATGCAGAATATGATATTTGTTTTGATTCAGTCTTCACTCTTCTTAGGGGTGCAACAAATCCAAGACCTTGGGATTTGGTGAAAATAGATTTGGATTTGGGTTTAGGTTTGGTCTTAAATTACCCAAATCTGATAAGACTTTGTAAAATAAAGTCCCACAAGGGAGAAAAGAATCTCAAGTCTTATAAATTCATATCAAATTGTTTAGATTTGGTATAGATTTGGGTTTGGAATTTGGATTTGGGTCTTAGATTTGGATTTGGGATTTGGTCTGTATCATTCTGGTTGGAATTTGGATGGGATTTGGATTTGGGATTTGGGATGGAAATTTGGTTCCAGTGTAGCACGACTGCAAAGTTGGAGTCATGCTAGATTGAAAACAAATCCCAAGTCCAAATCTAAGACCCAAAGCCAAAGCCAAAGCCAAATTCAAGTCCAAATCCAAATCCTAAATCCCAAACATATCAATCCCGAATCCCAAATCTAAGCCGAACAAAGCAATATCAGCAATCCTGTGATCCAAATCTAGACGAAATTCACATTTAGAAACTAAATTCAAACCATACCCCCATACCCCAAATCCAGAAACCAAATCCAAATCCAAGTCCAAGCCTAAAAGATTTGGTGACAAATCCCAAATTCATTCAAGATTTGTTGCACCCCTAACTCTTCTGATCAAAGTGTGCTAAATATTGGAAAAAAAGCAGCAACTCATATTATATCTGAACTAGCTTATTTTCAGAAAAAATTCATTTATTTTATGATAAAAGTCTTTCTTAACATAAATTCTGTGGTCGTAGAGCTCTTCCAACATGATAATCTCTCGAATTATTTTTTAAAAATAAATGACTCATTTATCTTTATTTTTTAAAGTAAAGGATCCATTTATCTTTATTTTTTAAAAGTAAAGGGTTTATTTACCTTTATTTCATAGAGTAAAAGTAAAGTACCACCCCTAGATATGGGTGCTTGCGTGAGTATGGTTGTGGGGTCAGTGTGGTCGAAGAGATGCTCCTCATACCCAGACCTACTCACACTCCACAGACATACTCTTCTAAAACAAGAACGTGTGAGTGTGGGTGTGCGAGTGTGGATGCGAGTGGATGAGTGCAGCTGTTGTTGTCAGTGTGGGCCTATCATCCATCTACACCCACACCCGCACCCGCACCCTGAAACCTCAAGCATGACGAATAAGAGAGATCAAGGGAAAAGTACATTAAAAACGAACAAACAAATGGAACAAAAACACATACGAATGAATTTTTTATTGTTACTGCCATCATTTTTTTCGTTCGTTCGTGTTTGTAGAGTACGTGACAATATATAGATAGAAACTGTACAGAAAGGAGTGCTGAAAAAAGTCGAGGTTGTATTTTTCTTTCCTTCTTTCTTTTGACGCAATTTCATTCCGTCTAGAGCTGTTTAGCTCTGTGTGTCTTTGTACTTTTAGCAAGTTGAGGAGTTTAAATAAATAGAAATCTATTAAAATTAATCGAAAGCTGTTCACGAGATTAGATCTATTTCATATCTCCATAGTCATTGATTCACAACCATTTATGTCGCTAAAATCTATATACTAAGTGTCATTAAGACCATATCCAAAAGATCGAATCGAATCGAACGAATGTTAAAGAATCAGCTCTCTGGGGTTTTCACTTTTTTGTCTGACAAACACATTTTAAAAAATTTTCATGATGTAGATAAAGGTTTCTCGAAAGTTTTTTTTTAGTTCTGAAAATATTTACATTGAAAACTGAAGACAATAATGGTGGATGAATGAATGGCTAAGAAATGAGAGATGTTCGCGAAACTTGAAATTAGGACAGAGATAATTTGCATCTCTAGTACCTGTTTTTTGTTAGCCGCTATACTAACGTTAATGCAATTGATTCACTTACACTTCTAAATGTGAACGATCAACACATTTTATATATCCATCAGCGTATTCGTCTAATCCAGAACGTTTTTGGAACTAGATCCGAAACAAAATCTATAAACGATGAGTGTCTACTCACCGGTTAAAGTGAACTCAAAAGCAAATGGATGATTGTTCAGAAACCAACAAAAAGAAAGTGATGAACGACAGAGTATTCATTAATTTTAATAAAGATACGAACATGGAATTTTCAACAGAAATTTTCACTATAACCAATGACAGCGACAGGCTTAAAGTATCGCTATCGAAAGTATGTCATCACTTCTAAGCAAAGAACTTCAAATACTAGAAGATGCCACGAAATATCATTTACAATATAAAATATAAAATAAGTTATATAGAACAGAAAAGGATGTTCCGAAATGCTCATTTGAATTCGGCAATGAGTTTTTTTTGAAAGTGCGATATTCATGAAAAGAATGGAAAGCTTTTCAATATCAAATCTTTTAGTTAAAATACTGGAAATTTGAGCATAAAATCTCTAAAAGTCAATATACGATGCAAAGAATTTTTTTCATTCAGTGTATTCGATTATCATTGGAGATTAATGGTAAAGTTTTGAGAACAGTATTAAAGAACAGAAACGAGTATAGTTATACAAGAGGTCTACGATCAAAAAATTTTACATAATTTCTATTGAAACATCAATAATATTTCACATATAAATCGAACTTTATTAGTCGAGTACAGCATATTCAAAATCGATTTTTTATTTATAAACATAAAAAACAAATTTTACATAACGAAAAAATTAGTTTTGTAAAACGCATTACGGTCACATGCAAGTTACCTCTTGTTTTTATCTGGGACTTTACTTAATACACGTGTATATTTGGATGTACTTTTATGCATTATCAAGGTGAATGAAATATTAATTTATTCATTTTGTCTCAAACAGTTCTATCTTGTATTTTGTTTTCTTGCAAATAATCTAGTTATTTATCTAAACTATCATTTTACTAAACAGAACATCTACCGTTTTATCTTTATATCACATTATAAAGGTTGTTGCAGCTTCAATTTGCAAGATTTATAGAAACACTCAACTCTAAGTCTTAAAAAGCCGACAAATCTTAAAAGCGCTATAAATATTTTTTTGAAAAAAAGAATATTTTACTTGTGTAAGCTTTTGTGAGTTCTAATTATTTCTAAACAGTGATCACTAAAACACGCATTAATATAAAAAATAGAATAATAGATATTGTTAATAGAAATGCAACAAACCTCAAATGAAATGAAGCTATTTTTATAGATATTATTAAGATTTTGTTTAATCATCTGTTCTTAATGATATACCCAATAAACCGATGTATGAAATAAACTTAAAATATCAATAAAATAAAAACACAAAATAAGACTGCAGATAAATTCATGAAATCTTTAAAGAATTATTTTTCGTTATTTTCAATCCTATTTTTTTTTCACCAGTTCTCTAAATTATTATATATTCGATTGAGTTTACGTTTATCACTGCAATGATAGATTTTGATAGTTTCAAAATATGATTTAAAGAAAAAAAAGATTTTTAGATGAATATGTACGAAAAAAGAACAGAGAAAGAACAAAGAAAGTTGTTGCAACTGTCATTCAACAAACATACACAAAAAGAAAATATTTATGTTAACTTACATCAATCAAATAGGACAACGAATTAATCATTTTTTCAATATATAGTTTCAGTTGAAGAAGATGTAAAAGAAGTAATAAGTCATGATGAAAACCATTACATACTTACACTTTGTTTAGTTTTTACCAAAAAAAGGAAAATAAACAACTTTATTCCTTCTAGCAGCAATTGTCAAAATTCTGTATGCTGTATTCCAATTGTTTTTCATCTATAAAAAAAACTCCCCATTACAAATAGATATCAAGATGTGGTATGTTAGCATGACATAAAAGATATTTGAGTGTATCTATCCATGGAATAATTACAATCCCATTGATTTCAGTCATGTAACAAGTTTGATAGGCTATTACAATACAATCTGCGAAAGACAATGACCTAAGTGTAGGGTATCAGTTCTGAAAGATAGTAATTATTATTAAATGAAATAAATACTGCTAAATATTTTGAAAATGTTCCTTTATTAATATATGAGTGTGTTATTGATAATTGAAAGAAATAATTAATGGCATTATGTTGTCTGTAAAAGAAAGTATCAAATTGATTTCGTTATTTTTAATGAAACATCGATCTGATGTTCGATATGTAAAATGTAACACTAATGTCCATGTCTTTTCATTTATCATCATTCATCTCGTTAAAATCTTCTGCTTCATGATTATTTAAATCGAATAAGAAATATCATTGAGTAGCATATGTTTATCTTAATAAATAAATATAAAAGAGACATTAAATCGAGAACAAATATCTCATCAAAGATGTTTTGTGGACAAATAAATTATTCTCATTTTCACGATTAGAATTTTCTTTATGGACATTTATTTATATACGTTTCAATATCTTCTTCATTTG